TACACACACACACACACACACACACACACACACACACACACACACACACACACACACACACACACACACCACGCTCAGCTGCAAGAGGAGAAGCAGAAGGAGGTTGATGCGAAGAAGAAGGAAATTGGCGCGCTTGATAAGCGTATGGGCGAGCTCAAGGCGCAGCTGTACGCCAAGTTCGGCAGCACCATCAACCTCGAGGCATAAGGCGGGCTGGCCAGTGCACGCAGATGCACATCCTATACCTCCTGTACACGCCCACCTGACCATGCACGCTTGCTCACACACATGCATGTGAGGCCTTCCTCTTCTTCGAGTAGCGTTTGTTGTGTTGTTGCCCCCTTCTTCCAACCCAGTCGTGGGATTTGGTTGTGCGCGAGTGTGGTGTGTGGTTTGTGTTGTCGTGTCATGCATTGTCGCACGTATCCACAAGAAAGCAATACACGCTTGAGATGAATGCGCGCGCAAACGCAGACTAGGAGGCGAGCCAGCCTCGGTGACATTGCTGTGCCACATGTTCAGTTGGCAGCGAGAATACTGTGTACAGGAAGAAGCAAAGGGGTCCGGAGCGAGAAACAAAGCAGCAGCCGCCTCTCATCGCATATCGATACAGACGGCGTTTTTGCAGCAAACCTAGAGTAGCTGATCACACAGAGAGGGAGAAGCCGATGTAGACAGGAAGAGTGCCTGAGTGACAAGGGTGACACAGACAGTCAGACAGTGACAAGAGTGACACAGACAGACAGACGAACACAAAGACACAGACATCACAGAGTCAGTGAGCAGAGGTGTGCGTGTTGGTGTCGTGCTCGCTGGCGTGGATGCGGTGCTGTTCCTGGCGGTATTTGGTGATATTGTAGTACGCAATGCCCGCAATGGACACAGCGAGGCCAAAGACGTTGAGTGTGGTCAGCTTGTTGTCTGGCGTGAACATGACGGCAACCACAATCGTGCAAATCTCCTTGATGATGCCCGCAACAGAGAGGGTCAGACTGAAGCCGCATTCAAGTTGCGTATGTGTGTGTGTGTGCGTGTGAGGTGGTGCAGGAACTTGAGAGCAAAAACACAAGGAAGAGCGAAGAAACGGCACCAGTACAAGGTGTACGTACACACACACATACAAACATAGACACACATACACACACAGAGGCACAGATAGACAGACAGAAACACATACACGCGCACAGACACACACACAGACACACACACACACACACAAGGCACACAGACATGCAGAGACGCCTGACCCCGAAGTGTTTGAGACGAGGAGAAATTCGCTGAGTGTGAGGAAGAATGCGAGGAGAGCGCCAAAGAGCAGCCACCACAGCGTCGCACTCGTAGCCGCGTGTGCACCGAACAGCAGATGCGTGGCAAGCAGTTCGTGGCCTATGGTTGGGGGGGGGGGTTGGGGGGTTGGGCAGTGGGATGCAGGGGGTAAGTGCAACGTGAGCTTCCGAACACACGTACACGCGTATTGTGATGGTGTGTGTGTGTGTGTGTGATGAATGCTGGAGTTGTCGTGAGGTCACCTTCAAAGTAGAGGGCGAACGGAAAGAGGGTGACGGCAATACACGGCATCACAAACGCCATCGTGTCCACGGGGTGTTTCAGCCCTGCAGCCGAACACACACACACACACACACACACACACACACACACACACACACGTGCGGTGCAACCAGGCGGTGGCTGCTGTGAGATGGTTGCGATTGACACTACTGTTGAATGACAACAACACCAACAACGAGAGAAGAACACCAACACCAACAACAAGAGAAGAACAACAACACCAACAACAAGAGAAGAACACCAACACCAACAACAAGAGAAGAACAACAACACCAACAACGAGAGAAGAACACCAAGAGCTACAAGAAGATCAACAAGAGCATCAACAGCGACAACACCACCATCACCACAATGGCACGGCGGGTGCAAACCTAATCGCTCCTTCTCCTTGTGGAGGACGAGCTGTGTCAGCACCCACCGCAGGCCGCCCATCATCGACGCAGCCAACACCTGCACACGCACACACATATGAGCGTGGACGGAAACGTCTTCAGTGTTCATGTGGAAACGACGCACGCATGCGATGCACGTGTGTGTACGATATGTGTGTGTGATGTGTACGATATGTGTGTGATGTGTGTGTGTGTGTGTACGATATGTGTGCGTGTGTGTGATGTGTGTGTGTACGATATATATATATATATATGTGTGTGTGTGTGTGTGTGTGTGTGTGTGTGCGTGATATGTGTGCGCACGAATGCGCGACCATGGCCGCGTATGCCGCGTACGCACGAGGAAGAATCCGACAGAGTGGAACGTGATTCCCTCTTTGAGGCGGAAGAGGATGAGGCCCCCGGAGATCATGGCGATGACAACAACCAGCGGGCGCGACTGCACCGTGGTTGGCCGCCGCCCGGAGAGGAGGGGGGGGGGACAAGAGTGGTGGTGGGGTGAAGAGGGGGGGGGGATGTGAGCACGTGTGCTCAGGAGGAAATGACCGCACACGAAAGGCTGTGACGGAGTGACACTGTCACACACACACACACACACACGTACACACATGTACACACACACACATGTACACACATGTACACACACAGATACAGACACACTCACACTCACACACGTATGTACACGAGGCGAGACATGTGTACCGGCTTCTCGAGTTTGAAAACGAAGGCTGCGAGGAGGAGCCAGACAACAACTGTTGACTTGACCATCGTGTATCTGTCGGTGCCCCGAATTTGAATCATCATCAGCAGCAAGAGAAGCAGCCGTACACAGTTAGGTACACGCAGAGATACAGACAATCAGAGCGGATGGAGGCCTGAATACACACAGGCCCACACATACGCACACACAACACACACATACGCACACACAACGTATTGACACACGCGCTGCCCAAACGTTTTGTGGACGTACAAGGTGACGTTGATGAGGTTGAGGCTCATGTTCGAGAACCCAATATCCAGCGCAGATGTGACACCTGCGATGCCATCAACAGCGAGGGGGTGGGGCGGCAAAGCGTCAATGCATGCAGATTGAGTCGTGCTGCAAGTGCAAAGGCGAAAGCTCGATGACAACGACCACCAGACAACACATCTCAATCGCTGCACACACACACACACACTACCTGCTGGGCTGAGGGAGTAGAACCAGTCTGAAAAGGAGACGCGCGGGAGCTGCAGGCCTCGGACGTGGCGACGGTAAAGGCGATACGACCACGCCATACAACTCGTCAGCATGGCATGACAGAACGTGACGAAGAGGGGCGTGTCTAAACCGTAGCTCTGCGGCAACGTGCGTGCGCCATGTGTGTGCGTGTGATGGGGGAGGGGGGGATACAAACACGTTGAGGGGGTACAGTCACGTTGTTGATGGTGGCGTCATAGGGATGGCAAGAGCGATGTACAGGGGTTGGTATGCTGTGGGTTGATGCACAAGACCGCGACACCAGCACGCACATTGACACGCACACGCACACGCACATTGACACACGCACACGCACATTGACACACGCACACGCACATTGACACACGCACACGCACACGCACACGCACACGCACACGCACACGCACACACCCATACACGCACAAAATAAACGTGGTGTACCTTGAAGAGCCATTTGTTGTAGAAGGTGAGGCCTATGGAGAAGACATACCAGAGGAGAACAAGCCCCACCACGACAATCATGCGTCGAATCAAGAGTACTCTTTCCCCGGACGCAGTCAGTGGCTCCACGTGCGTGTGCTGCCGATCGAGAAGCGGGTCATCGTCGTGTGTGTTGAAGTCATCTCCAATGTTGGCGACACTACCACTGCCACCGTCATGACCATCAGCGCCATCTACATCATCTACGCCGTAGTGGTGGCGGCGGTGCGGCGCACCGTTTGTCATCTCCCTAACATGCTGGTCGATGTCTGTCTCTGCCAACAGCAGCGGCTCGAAGCCGCCATCCTCACCGCCAGTATGGTTGCGCCCCTTCCGGCCATGTCCACCAGCCATCCCCAGCACGTCGTCACTGGGAGAGTGTATGTGCGTGTGTGGACGTATGTATTTGTGTGTGTGTGTATGTGCGTGTGTCGCAGCGAATGCTCCACCAACACACAAAGCGAGCGAGCAGCGGCTGATCAAGGGGCCGGTTTGCGACACCACAAATAAAACTTGGCTTGGCTGCTGCTGTTTGCTGCTTCTTTGTGGGGTGGGGCAAAACATACACACAACGCACAACACACAACACACACCACACAACAACAACATCACACTCGCCCACCCACCTATTGGCTGGTTGCCTTGCTTGCTTGTCAATCATCAAGGGCTCTCTGCTGTGATCTCACGCAACACACGACAGGCACAACATTGTAAACAAGCAAAAGGTTGGTGTGGTTGCTGTGGTGGTTGATTGTGTGGTCTCGCCCTGCTGCTGTTGGGTGTCTGGTTTGGCGCTTCTTTTTGTAGGTGTTGTTGTTGTTCTTGTCCTTGTCGTCGCAATCACTCCGCCACCGCCCACCCCTTGCTTGTCACATCAACGTAACCAACTCCCCCCTCCCCCTTTCCGCACACACACACACACACACACACACACACACACACACACACACACACACACACACACACACACACACACACACACACACACACACACACACACACACACACACACACACACACACACACACACACACACACACACACACACACACACACACACACAAGCACACACAAGCACACAAGCACAAACAAACGACAGACAGTATAAACACACGCCCGTTGACTCCATCATTGGCGTCATTGTTGTCGTGACCGTCGCTAACGGCATCAGCATCACCACCGTCATCACCAGCATCCCCGCGCCATGTGTGCGCTCCGAGACCTCCCGGTGCGCGTCGTTTTCAACCTTGTCTGACCTTGCCCTACATTACCCTGCACTGCCTCCTTCTCCTCGCGTCCTGCCCTCCTTCTCCTCGCGTCCTGCCCTTCTTCTCCTCCCACATTGTTCTGCTGATATGGTTTCACGCTGTTCGTTTGGGGCGTTTGTTTGTTTGTATGATGGACGACAGCGGCCCGGAGGCCTGTTCCAGCTGATGGATATCGTCGGAACGGGCAACTACGGCCAAGTGTTTCGGGTGAGACTGGCAGCACGAACCAAACGATACCGCTGCGGCTGATTTATCATGTTCTGTGACGCCTTATATTCATTCCCAGACACACCCCCCCAACATGCTGGCGCGGTGCTCACCATAAAGGCTGTTCCACCCAAACACACAATCGCAGGCGATGCACACAAAGACCAAGGAGCTCGTCGCCGTCAAGATTATGGACCTCATCGAGGTGCAGGGGTTGTCGTTGTTGGTTGTATGCCTGGTCGTCGTCGTCGTCGTTGTCGTCGCAATGCCGTGGCTGTCGTTAGGTCTCTGTCTGGTTTGTTCCTGTGTCCTCTCACGCCTGCACGCGTTTTGGCCAACCCCTGCTCCCTCTCCACCGCCCACCACGCATTGCACCTCAACTGACACAGGAGGAAGAGGAAGACATCAAGGTGGAGATTGACATTCTGAAGAAGTTTGGCACACACAAGAACCTAACCACCTTCTACGGCGTGTTTCTTGCCGAGCCTGACGGCAACACCCTGGAGCGCCATCCGCAGGAGAAGTTGTGGCTCGTCATGGAGCTCTGTGACGCGGGGTCTGTCATCGACCTTGCAGAGAAACTCAAGCCAAAGGCCATCCCCGAGAACGTACGAACGGCCTGTGCCGTGCTGTGCTGTGTGTGTGTGTGTGTGTGTGTGTGTGTGTGTGTGTGTGTGTGTGTGTGTGTGTGTGTGTGTGTGTGTGTGTGTGTGTGTGTGTGTGTGTGTGTGTGTGCGCGCTCTTTGCACATGTGTGAGCGAGTGCCCTCCGTGTGTGCCCCTCTGCACATGTGTCTGCGCGTGTGTCTGACCATGTTGCGCCGTGGCCGCCGCTGCAGATCATCGCGTATATCATCCGAGAAACGACGGAGGCCATCCGATTCCTGCACAAGAATCTCATCATCCATCGCGACATCAAGGGCCAGAACGTCCTCATGAACGCACACGGCGAGGTCAAGCTCGGTCAGTCATGGGGGGGGGGGAGGAGGAGGTGTGGTTGTGCGTGTATGCGTGTGTGTGTGCGTGCGTGTCTTTGTGCTCTTGTGTGTGTTGATGTGTGTGTGTTGATGTGTGTGTATGTTTGTGTGTGTGTGTGTGTGTGTGTGTGTGTGTGTGTGTGTGTGTGTGTGTGTGTGTGTGTGTGAGTTTTGTGTGTTTGCGCTCTTGCGTTAGTGTTCTAGTGCAAATGCATGATGGGTTCTGCCCTTGCTTACGTGCGCCCGTGTTGCTCACCATCCTGACACGCTGTTTTGTTTCTTTCCGGCACGCGGCTGCGCGCTGCAGTTGACTTTGGCGTGTCCGCCATGCTCAAGGACAAGAAGGACAAACGCAACTCGTACATCGGCACGCCATATTGGATGGCCCCCGAAGTCATTGCTTGTGCGTCATTTTTCCTGGACCATGTCGCTGCTGCTATTGTCGCTGCTGCTGCTATTGCTGCTGTCTCTTTGTGTGTGTGTATGTATGGTGGAGTACGTTCTTGTGCTGTTCGCTGTTGAAGACAGTTGTTCAGCACCAACCAACCACCTCACACTTAACCATGTGCCGCGCTCACATCACACCAACTCACACCACCTCACACCACATCACACCACATCACCTCACGCGGCCCGACGGCCTACGGCCCAGGCGACGACCAGCGGGATTCGCTGTACGATCAGCGGTGCGACGTGTGGGCGCTGGGCATTTTCGCCATTGAGCTGGCGGAGTGTGAGCCACCACTCGCCGACCACCACCCCATGCGCGCATCCTTCCTCATCCCGCGTAACCCGCCCCCTACCCTCAAAGAGGAAAAGAAGTGGTGCGTTGGCAGTGGTGACAATGTTGGTGGTGATGACGATGGTGGTGATGATGGCAACGGCGCAGCGTTTGCATTTGCGTTGATGCGCATTCTCACACGTTCCGTTGCGTTGATGATGCGCGTGCAGGTCTGAGCAGTACATTGACTTTGTTGCCAAGTGCCTGGTGAAGGATTTCGAGAAGCGGCCGACCACAAAGAAGATTCTCGACGTACGCCGCGTTGTCATTGCTCGCACCACAGCAGCCAGACTTGTACACCACGACACACACGCACATAGCTGTGCGCGCGCGCACACACACACACACACATCTGCACATCACGCACACACGCAGCACACACACACGCACACACGCATACACACGCACAATCCTGTCACTTGTCTCACGCCGCCGTTACGTCACACGCTACATCACGCATCGGCCACGACAGCACACGTTCCTCAAGTCTGTGAACGCAAAGCGGCAGCGGGCGGCGCTTGCAGATCTCATCGAGAAGGTGCAACGTGGACACAAACGCAAAGGTTCGCACACGCTTTTCCTGTTCGACACACCCAAGTTATGCTGCATATGATGCCTGGCATGATGACGACTACTATGACCCCGTGCGGTGCCATGTCCACCTCCTTGGATGCCCTTGTGAACTCACGCTGTTCACGTACCTCTGCTCCTGCTGCGCCCTTGCTGCTGCTGTTGCTGCTGTTGTTGCGACATAGACGAGGATGAGCTGGTCTCCCTCCCTTCACCCGGTCCCGTCGTGTCAGAGTACGACATCCACATCACGATGAACATCGCGCTTTCTGCTCCACCCCGCCCCCAAGTCCCATCGTCCAGCCACATGCATTGCATTGTGTTCCTTGACAGCGCATACACACACACACACACACACTCATACACACACACACACACTCTCTCATCCACACACACACACTCTCTCTCATCCACACACACACACACACACACACACACACACACACACACTCATCCACACCCTCACTGACTCGCATTCACCGTCACACAACCATGCAAACACGCTCCTTCCCCCAAACACGACCAGGAGCCCCGCGAGCTTTGGGTCGAACATGGACTGGGGCGAGCTGTCACGGCCCGTGTCACAGCTGTCGTCGCGCGCACACACCCCGACACCGCCCGAACCGCTCGATGTCAACATGCAGGGGCTCGCTGGCCCAATCAGGCGCACATCCCGCGTACCGGTCAGCTCCCGTGGCGATGATGGTGGTGATGGTGGTGATGGTGGTGGTGGTGGTGACATGTTTACAGCGTGGCCCAGTTTGTTCTTCGTCCTGTGCTCCCACATCCCATCTGGATCTCACACAATTAACTCACACACTCACCTCCCACACCACCATAACGCGTGCGTGTGCAGGTGAGCAATTCGCGATCGAGCAACGGCCCGACGATGCTCGACTCGATCCTCACGAAAGAGCAGCGTGCACAGCTCCCAGACGCAACCATTGCGCAGCGCCGACCACGCAAGACAGATGTAGGTTGGCGGGTGTTATTGTTGTGTTTGTGCGTGTTTGGTTGATTGCGTGTGCTGCGTGTTTTACTTGATTGTGTGTGGACTTTGAGCGTGTGTGTGGACTTTGAGTGTGTGTGTGTGTGTGTGTGTGCGGAATGCACTTCGTCCTGCTCACGTCTCATCCCATCCCGTGCGTACATGTGTGTGTGTGTGTGTGTGTGTGTGTGTGTATGTGTGTGTATGTGTGTGTGTGTGTGGTAGACGGGCTTTGCTGTTCCGGATGCGTTTGCTCTTCGCGGCACAGACGTCGTCGTGCCATCCTCCCCCGAGGTGCGCTTGCCTGACAGTGCCAGTGATGATGGTGGTTGTGGTTGTGGTTGTGGTTGTGGTTGTGATGGCGCTTGGTGTGGTCGAGCAAGTCTTTTGCAAATGATACCACCTCCTTTACACATCGTTTCCCCCTCGTTTTCCCCTCACGCGTGCCATGTTGTCATTCAATAGCGCGCCATGAACCCGCAGATCCGCAAACTGCACAAGCGATTCAACTCGGGTTCGTTCGGTTGCGCATGCGTTCATTCACATGCGTTCATTCGCACAAGTGCTGACATGCATTTGCCGTTCGTTTGCTGCTTGTGACTAACCGTACTCACTGACACACAAAGTGTCAACTTGCATGGCACATGACACTCACTTGGTTGCCTTACACACCTTTGCACACACACACACACACACTCTCTCTCCACTCTCCACACCCTCCACATACGTACACATGCGTGCATGTACACTCGCGCAGAGATCCTCTGTGCTGCATTTTGGGGCGCGAACCTGCTTGTTGGCACGAAGCACGAGCTGTGTCTGCTGGACAGGAGCGGGCCGGGTCGCGTGTTCCCGCTGATTGGGCGGCGGCGGTTCCAGCAGCTCGCTGTGCTCGAGTCCCTCGGTGTCATGGTCACCATCTGTGGCAAGAAGAACAAGGTGTGCTGGCTGACTGACATGTTGCTTTCTGCCTGGCAGTCCGGTGGTGGTGGTGGTGGTGGTGGTGGTGGTGGTGGTGGTGGTGGTGGTGATTGTCTGTCATGGTGGGGAAGCAGAGTACCGTGTTTTCCGCGCGAGCGGTATCTCCAACATACACACACACACACTCACACTTGTGTTCACACTCCCTATGACACACACACACATGCACACACACATGCACACACATACATACAAACACACACCAGTTGCGGACGTACAACCTCAACTACTTCAAGTCTCTGATCCTGCGGCAGCCAACGAAGAAGCAGACGTTGTATCAGGACGTGAACAAGCACATGCACTGCACACACTTCTCTCTTGGTGAGCTCCCCTCCGCTGACGATGTGTGTTTCCCGGCGTGTTGTTGCCGATCTTGTGTGTTCTGCTTGTGTGTTTGTGCTTTATCAACGCCTCCACAACCGCGCCTACGCCGCCAACACAGCGACCGCAACTGCACCCACTGCCACCACGACAAGCAGCACAACCACCACCATTTGCATCCAAGTGCACCGCCTCTCCTTCATTCCATTTCACACCCCACATCCTGTCTTCCTCGCACGTCACACCCCCCCCCCCATTGTCTCACGTCTCCTCTCTTGCAGCACGACACGATCGATTGCGCTTCCTTTGCGTGGCGAGTGGCAAGTCCATCACTATTTATTTGTGGGCCCACAAGCCATACTACAAGTTTATGGTGTTCAAGGTGCGTGTCGTTTGCCCTGTTGTTTGCATGTTTGCATGTGTTTGTTTGTTTTTTGCACATGTGGCGATGCTTCAGTTTCGTGTTGTTCGCGCGAGTTGTGCTGCTGAACATGGCAGCTTTTCATCCTCACATGCGCTCTTGCTGCGTGTGTGTGTGTGTGTGTGCGGGGAACGGCGACAGGAGTTTGCTGTGCCCCACGAGCCAGTCCTCGTCAACCTCAAGGTCATTCACGAGGAAGAACTCAAGGTTGTCTTCGCCTCCAAAATCGGTACGCACACACACACACACACACACACACACACACACACACACACACACACACACACACACACACACACACACACACACACACACACACACACACACACACACACACACACACACACACGCACCCGCACACGCACCCGCACACGCACACACACACACACACACTTGACCTGCCATGGCGCGTGCCCTTGCATCGCTTGTCTGTGTCTTCACCTGTCGTCCCCAACATGTGCACCACCTCATTGCACATCATGCTTGACGCGAACACCTCCACTGCTTGCACCACCCGCCCTACGTCGCTGCTGCTGCTGCAGGCTTTCATGCGGTTGACGTGAACACGGGGGCGGTGATCAACATGTACGTGCATCCGAATCCGAGCAAAGGGAGCATCACGCCGCACTCCATCATGCAGTTGGACCACGACGAGTACATGCTGCTCTTCGACCGTGAGTTGCGCACGGCATACAGCAGTGGCAGTGGCAAAGCAAGCGGAGACCAGGGGGAGGGGTGGACGCATTGGCTCACACACGCACACACGCGCACACATGTACACACACACACACACATGTACACACACGCACATGTACACACACGCACATGCCAACAGGGCGGGGCGTGCGCATCGACTACTTTGGGGAAAAGGTGGCCGAGGTCTCATTTGCGTGGGAATCGTCACCGTCATCAGCAGGTCGGTTCGTGTGTACGTGTGCGTGCACGTGTGTGTACGTGTGTGCGTGTGTGCTTGTGTGCGTGTGTGCACGTGTGGATGCATTTCGTACTGTGTTTCACTGTCATTTCCGTTGTCCGATGCTTCGGTTGGTGCGATGCACGTGTGTGTGTGTGTGTGTGTGTGTGTGTGTGTGTGTGTGTGTGTGTGTGTGTGTGTGTGTGTGTGTGTGTGTGTGTGTGTGTGTGCAGTGCTGCTGCATCCAGACCAGGTGCTTGGCTGGGGCAGCAAGAGCATAGAGACGCGCGACATTCGCACGGGCGAGCTCTTGGGATCAATGAAGCACAAGCAGGCCGTCAAGGTGTGTGTGTGTGTGCGTGCGTGTTGCGTGCGTGTGCGTGTTGCGTGTGCGTGTTGCGTGTGTGCATGGCACGATGGCGACATGAGCATGTTGTTCCGCGCTCACGTTCTGTACGTGTGCGTGTGCGTGTGTGTGCGCGCGCGTGTGTGTGCAGCTTCGCTTTTTGTGCGCGCGCGCAAACAAGCTCTTCTTCGCGTCTGTGAAACAAGGCGGCTCAACCCAGGTGCGTGCATACACTTGTGTGTGTGTGTTGTGTTGTGCGTTCTCAATGTACACATGCTGACTGCTTGTTTGTCCGCTTGTGGTGTGCCACAAACTCACGTTTCTTTCATGCGTCTCATGCTTTGCAACCGCATTCCCCCAGATTTACTTCATGACCTTCTAAGCACGTGCTAGCGTTATTCGCTGCAAGCCACGTGCCATGGTGTACTGCCTGTTTGTGTTCTGTTGTTAACGCTTTGTGTTCGCCTGCTGTTCATGTGCTCGTGCGTTGGTTGCTGATTCATCCATGCCCGTGTTTTTGCTTCCTTCCTCTTTTTCTTGAAAGAGCGTACGTGACTGCGACGACGACCAGTCGTTTTAAGTGCTCGAATTCGTGCTCGCTTGTGTGTATGTGTGTGTGTTTGTCTTTGCATGTGTTTCCTTTCGTTTTGGAGTGAACCGGTTGCATTCTTGCACAAGGTGGATTGATGTACACATTGCTTCATGGTCTGTCATACACACGCGCGTGTGCTTCAACCACGAACCGACACACACACACACACACACACACACACACACACACACACACACACACACACACACACACACACACACACACACAGCCACAGACACACACACACACACACACACACAACAGCGCTTGATTGAGCGAATGAGGCGATACGAACGAACAAAAGGATCGAGTAACCAGCAGCAGCACCACCAACAACATCAACAACACCAACAAATGACGGCATTTAACATGGGTCAGAAGATGGTGCCGAGGCTGGTGACCCATGTGACGAGAAGTGGATGCACGCGCGCAGTGTGTTCAAACTCAGCCAGGTCCATCCTACAGTGCGTGTTGGGGAGACAAAGGAATGGCGTGAAGCTGTGAGTGAACAGCGCCTGGGGCGGCGGTCATAACTGCAGCCCTGCTGATGAGCTGGGAAGGAAGGAAGGAAGGAAGGAAGGAAGCCACAGCGAGCAGCGCACCTGTCTCTGTTGTTGAAGATGCGATTGACAAACATGACGACAGCGTCGCCGCCTTTGCTGCTCAGTTCTGGTGTGGCGTGGAGGCTCGAAGCACTAACAGCGAGGTGATGGTGGTGATTGTGGTGATTGTGGTGATTGTGGTGGTGGTGTGGGGCTGCCACGTGAACAAGAGGGGCAGGGACGAGAAAGAGGAGAGAGAGGGGACAGCTACGACGCCAGGCGTCAAATAAGCGCACCGAGGGAGCGTGACAAGCCTGCAACCAGCAGGCGAACAAGCAAGCAATTGCACGCACGCGTGCGTTGGTGTTGGGGTCCAGTCGTGTTGGTCGAGGTGCATGGCCGCATCAGCGCCTTTGGTCGGCGGCGTGTCGGATGGAAGCCCAATCGGTGCTGTGAAGAGCGCCGAGACGGGCTTAGACCCCGCATCGTCCAGCGACTGCACCTGTGCGTATGCCATAAGTGAACGTTACAAGTGTGTGTATGTGTGCGTATGTGTGTGCATGTGTGTGTGCGTGCGTGCATGTGTGTGTGTGTGCGTATGTGTGTGTGTGTGTGTGTGTGTGTGTGTGTGTGTGTGTGTGTGTGTGTGTGTGCCTTCCTCTCTTGCCATTTCGCTCTGCAGCCCGGAGACGAGATCCGTCACTTGCAAGACGGTGAGTTCCAGAAACGCCTGCAGTCATCAACAGCAAACACAACGATCAGCCACAGCAAAGCATTGTGATGCTGCTGCTGTTGTGTGTGCTTGTGTGTGTGTGTGCGCGCGTGTGTGTGTGTGCGTACTCGGAGGATGGCGATGAGATCGTCTGGGACGAGATGGCCGCGCTGGTCAAGGTCCATTCCCCGAAACGCAACTGCACACACGTGCATATATGAAGGAGATGGTGATGACGACGGGTTGCGTCGGACAAGGCAGCGCTCAGAACGAGGCCATGCAAATTACAATGCTGAGCTCACCAAGAACAGAGGCGATTCCAAGAACGCACGCACACACACACACACACACACACACACACACACACACACACACACACACACACACACACACACACACACACACACACACACAGACACACACACACAGACACACACACACACAGAGACACACACACAGACACAAATGCGCACGTCTCATCTTCTCGTCGTATGATCCGTGTTCAAGCACCGCCATCGTGCCAAGCATGTCCGCAAAGCCCACAATCCCGTCTCCGTCTCGATCAAACAGCTGATTGTGGCGGGTGGTGTGTCGATAAGTGTCGTGTCGCGCCGCGTAATGCGAGGTGAGTGGCAATGGCAGGGAGACGGTCAGGCATATGTCGGGCCATGTACACAGACACACACACACACAGACACACACACACACAGACACACACATATATACACACACACACTTGCATACACACACACACACGTACACACAAACACATACACAGACACACACGTACACACACACACACACGTACACACAAACACATACACAGACACACACGAACACACAGACACACGCGTACACACAGACACAAACAGACATATCCCCGCTGCCCGTGCGCATCTTACAAAGAACAGCCTGTCGACAATGAGGTTTGGGCGGGCGGCATATTCGCCCATGAGTTCACGAAATCGGGCGGGTGAAACACCAGGCGGATCGCTGCTGTCAGCGACGAGTTGAAACTCGCTGAAATACGCCGTGATGGTGCTGCGGCTCACTGTACGCCATGGCCACGCCGCGCAAGAGGCATGTGCAGGCATGTGTAGGCATAAGTGTGTGTGTGTGTGTGTGAATATATGTGTGCGTTGTTTTTGTGTACAGTGTGTGTGTGTGAATGTGTGTGTGTGTGTGTGAATGTGTGTGTGTTGTATGTGTGTACAGTGTGTGTGTGTGTGGTGTGTCGTGCGTGCATGCATGTATCAATAGGGTGTGCAGGAGTTGCGCGTGGGAGCACTCGGACATCGCTGCCGACGCTTTGCTGTCTTTCGCTCAGAGTGCGGACTCTGCCATGTTGTCACGTACGATTGAAGAACGCTTCCAAGTTCTTCAGGCTTTCCCACAGGATCTTCTGCTTTGGTTGCGCAGTTCCTGGCACCGTGCAGGGCGGCATACCGTGGTGGGATGTGTGTGCAGGTTTGCGACATGTGCATGCACTTGTGTTTGTATCAAAACACATAGACACAGACAGACAGACACATACAGACAGACAGACACATACACACATAGACACACACACAGACATACACACATACACATACATCTCATGTGTGCCGGACCAAAGTCGCAGACCTGGAAAGAGCTGTGGGCAGAGGGGTTTTCGCGGGTTGAGGCGCGGTGGAACGACGTTGTTGAGCTTGATGAAGACGTGCTTTGGGTTGTGCACCTCCTGCAGCTCACAATCTGCGCACAAGTCAAAGTCTGGGCAATTGGCGCACTGCAAGCACGCATTTGGACGAAAGGGCCGTTGCATGAGAGGCAGGGTGTGTTCACCAATGAAACAGCACACACAGACACACCGACACAGGTAGGCAGACCAACAGATACACAGGTAGACAGACGATCAGACAGACACACGCACACACGTACACAGACACAGACACAGACACAGACACAGACACAGACACAGACACAGACACACACACACACACGTACACAGACACAGACACACACACACACACCTTGTATCTGATGCCTTTGATAGGTGTGGCTTTGCAGTGGTTACACGCGACACCACGATGCACAACGCCATCTATTCAACATAGGTGCAGGCAGGTGAGAAGGGTGGTGGGTATACATGACAGACAAGGTGGTGGTGCTGTGTGAGGGTAAGTGGATGTGCGTCGTGCTTGCAGCTCGTACCGCGCAACGTCAAGTCCTCAGCGACATGAAAGACCATGGATAGCAGGTCTTCTTTTGATGCGTCCACCAGCGTCTGCTCCGAGAGCGTCAGTCATGGAACCAATGCAGGGTGTGAGGGTGCGCACTTGTGTGCGGTGGCTGTTCGAGCCAAGAGGCGTGTCGATACACACGCAAACACAGACACAGACACAGCACAGAGACGCAGACGGAGACAAAGGTGCAGGGGAACGGAGACATGTGCACCCATGCTCTCACAGACACAGACACACACCTACACAGTGACACAGACACAGACACAGACACAGACACAGACACAGACACAGACACAGACAGAGACACAGACACAGACAGAGACGCACACACACACACACACACACACACACACACACACACACAGACACACACTGACACACACACACACACACACACACTAATACAAACCACACAGACACGAAGAAGCATGAACATGTTGGTGGGTGTTTGTTTGTTCTT